GTCCTGGTTCATACTCCACGGAGAAGTTATACTCCGCGAAGAAAGACAGCCACCTCGCCATCCTTTGCGAGAGGTGTGGGCTGTTTACGGCCGTGGGTAGTGACGCATGGTCCGTATCGACAACAAACGATCTATCTCCGAGGAGATAGACGCGAAACTTAGCCAGTGCGTACTTCATGGCAAGGAGTTCCTTGTCATGCACTGGGTAATTACGCTCAGCTGCCTGCAGCTGACGCGACTGATAACAGATGACGCGCTCCGCGCCATCTGCATCAAATTGCATAAACGCACAGCCGATCGCAAAATCGCTGGCGTCACAGACCACATGAAATGGTCTGTCCTGATCTGCAATCGCCCTGATCGGCGACTGCATCAAGCTCCTCTTGATACCTTCAAAGGAACTCTGACAGTCAGCGTTCCATGACCACTTGACATTTTTCTTGAGCAAGCAAGAAAGATGTACCGTCATCTCGGCGTAGTTGCGGGAGTACTTATGCAAGTACGCCGCTAGTCCAAGGAGCTTCCTTAGTCCCTTGACATCGACTGGCACTGGCCAGTCGGTTGTCGCCTTGATCTTTTCGGGATCAGGGCGTACGCCTTGTTTGCCGACGATGCACCCAAGAAGTGGTATTTCGCTAGCCGCGAATATACACTTCTTGAGGTTTGCGTACAACTTATGCTTGCGCATAGGTTGAATGACTTGACGAATGTGAGTTCTATGAACTTCAGCGTCCGTCTTTCCGTCCATAGCCCGGATATGGACGAGAACATCGTCAATGTAACAAGGCGCGAAGTCTCGCACCGGTCTCAACAGATTTGTAACACATCTGTTGAAAGTAGCAGGGGTATTGCTCAGCCCCCGTGGCATCACTAGCCCCTCCCATAGCATACCGCTGGAGGTGCTCACTGCTGTGTACGGGACGTCCCGTTCACGCATCAGGATCTGATAGAATCCGTCCATCAGATCCATGGACGAAAAGATGGTACTCTTGGACATGCCATCTATGATTACGTCCTTCCTCTGTATCGGCGTCTGAGCCGGTACCGTTGCAGCGTTCAACTTGTTGAATGCGTGCACTATCCGCCATCCTCCTGTGGCCCTTCGCACACAGAAGGTCGGAAAGCTGTGAGAGGATATCGATTCCATCACAATACCCGCTGCTAAGCGATCGGCAAAGAACTTGTCGATCGCTAGTACTTGTTCACGAGGCAGTGGCCACTTCTTCATGACACAGTACTTCGAGACCGGTTTGAGCTCGATCTCGTGTCGAGTGCCTTTGTCCTTAGGCAACTCGCAAGGCACGGATTCAGGGAATACATCCTTGAATTTGATCAAATCCTTATACAAAGGATTTGACTGAAGTGACTCCCAGGATTGAGACGTGTATCGCTCAATCTGAGTCTTCTCATCGAGGACACTTTCGTCCATCGATGAGCTGCTGAGAACCCGTTCGTTCTCAGCAAATACAGTCGACGACCAAATATCGGCCACATACTCATCCTCTGTGACGAGTATGCAGATCTGTTTGACTTTGCCACTACGCAGATCACTCAAGAACCGTTTCGGTTCTAGAGTTGGCAACTGAGTTATCTCCGAAGTTAACTTCGGAGGCACAATCTGATCAAGCGTATAAGCGCCTACGCTTGATCCGTCATTGACCAAGACGTTCAACGTCTCGGTTTCTTCCTGGGAACTTCGTTCCACAGGTTGCTGAAGGCCTAATCCTTCAGCAAGTGACTCTTGAGGAATTCCTTCCTCAAGTAGGTGGGGACTTATTCCCTCGACGTCTTCTGACTGTGGCTGTGCAACCACAGTCAGGGACCGATCCTCTACGGTCGACTCTCCAGTCGACCTAGGATATCCGTGTTGCCTCTTGTGGTCAACCGGTTTACTCTTGCTGGGATGTCGCCCGCTAGGCGTACATCCACGTCCCAGTCCACTCGACTTCTTCGAGTGGTGGACCTTCGGCGCCGCCTGTACTTCTGTACAGCCGCCGGGAACTTGCTCCACAGTGTAGTGATCAACTACACTGTGATCTTGTGCAGTCTTGCTAACGACTGTACTGCAAGTGAGGCCATCGCACTCACTCGCAGAGCATCCACACGCTTGTGGACGCTCCAAGATGTTCATCAGATGGCCATCTGATGAACAAGCGGCAGGCATCTTTACGGATCGATGCTGCCAGCTCACCCTTGGCTCGTACTTTCTGAGCCAAGATAATCCCAGGATGACATCAAATTTGTCATCCAGATCCAGTGCGATGAATTCATTATCGTACTGTTCGCCCTCTAACGTGTAGTGGATTCCTACTACACGTTTCTCAACGGTAATCGATGCGCCTGTTGCAAGGCGAACCGTCATCCTCGTGAGGGGAATGTCGCGCTCCACGAACTTGAGCCTACGATCCTCTAGTGACTGGCGATGAACAAAGTTGTTCGACGCCCCACAGTCTACTAGGGCACGAAGCGACAAATCATTTGTCGCTTCCAACTTCAAGGTGATGAGCGAAACGTCATCACCAGGTGCAGAGACACACAATGATTGTGTATCTGGAGCAACTTTCGTCAAGAGATTTGCAAATTCTCTTGAGGTTGCTAAATCAGTAGAGCGCTCCGCCCCTACTGACCCTGTCCATTTTTTGATGGTCCGTTTCGCTGTTGCGGCTTCGAAACAGCGCTGGACCCACGCCCATTGCCCTTCTTGGCGAACGGTCGCATATTTCGCTCAGTACTGCTTGGTACTGGGCGTGGGGCACATACTCATGTGCGAAGTGCCCTAACTTCTGACATCGATTGCACTTCAGCAATCGCTTGTTGTTTGAAGAGCGAGGTCTCTCGCCCTCAACATAGCAGAGGTCCATTGGTTCTGGAACTCCGATCTCTTGTCGTCTCGGTGGACGATAAGAGTTTGAGCTAGCATGAGCCTGTCTCATGCTAAAGTCTTCCTGTTCCGCGGCTGATATCGCTTCTTCAAGCGTATTCAGCTCAAGGCGGAACAGGTGGCTCCTGACGGGCCCTTCTGTGAGACCTTGCATGAACACCGTAATCAACGTGTGTTCATGGACTGGGTTAGCAGTTATACTACTCGCGAGGAGTCGTATATGTTGAGCGTAAGCGTGCACATCACGCTTACCCTGCTTGAGTTTCAGGACCTCTGAACGAGCTCTGATCTCAGCCCGTGGCGGCTCAAACGTTTGTCGGAGCCGGGACTTGAAGTCATCTAGCGACCTGAACACATTTGGGTCGCTACTCTCGAGGCCCAGGGACCAAGTTTTGGCACGTCCTGCCAAGTGGGTTTGAGCAAATGTTAGTTTCATTTGCTCATCTTCGACGCGACGAGCTCTTAGGGCTCTGTCGAGTTCGACAAACCACAGTAACAGGGAGTCATCCGGGACTCCACTGTACTTGGAGATGTCAACATTCATGACCTCGGGACGACGCACATGTGCCGTCCCGCCCACAGCAGCATGGAATTACTGCTGTCTCAACAGCTCTGTCTGTTGAGCACCGAGTTCTCTCAACTGCTCGGCCTGTTGAGAGCCTTGCTGGTGAAGCAAGGCTACTTTCTCCCTTTCGGCGACAAGTTCACTTTGGATGAACTTGGCTATAGCGGCATGTTGTTGGTCTCTGTCTAGAGACTCCAACATGGCGCTAATGGCGAACTCGCCTACGGTAGAACTCATTCGTTCTACCGCACTCCATTCGATGTCGCTCGAATGGTTAAACCCTTCACGCGTGGCGTGAAAGGTTTGTTCATCATCCAACATGTTCATGTTGGATGCTGTGGTCCTTGGAAGGACTACAAAGTGCAACCAGGTGTAACGGGGCACACTTTGCGTGAACTTAACGCAAGGGTTTAGGTGCCCCGACAGACGTACACGAGGCAAACGAGGAAGCGTAGATAAGGGGAAAAGTAAAACTGTTGTATTAATATATTTAAGTCTTTTTGCTACTGTCTCTCTGTTTAACCTGACTTAATTATGTTGATATAACTGAGTGTATAGTGACGTCTCGTCACCACTCATTGCGCGCGTCTTGCGGCGATTGGTGGGTTGATATCATCAAGATATCAACCAATGAGCAGACCCTTTGGTCGCTTCACCAATATCACCATTATCGGTGATATTGTTCAAAGAATATTCACTTAATATTCTTTGTTGTCACTTTCTTTTAACGTGACACTTCCATGTAACGGGCTGCCTCGTTACAGATTCCAAAAAGACCCTAGAAAATGACTTGTCGAGCGAGTTTAAATTGCAATGCAGCTACGTGCTGTCTCAAAAAGTTTGGCTGAACGTGACCACGCCCATTTCTAATATAATGTGGAAGAAGACGGATTATTTCAAACAAGTAGGGTTTGCATATGTCTTGTCGTCTACCAAACTGAACGATGTACCACTGTATGCAGAGTTTTTTTTACCCCAATCTCCGTAGAACAGCGGTAGATCGATAGACCGACGGCTGCATCAATTTTTGGTCGCCAAGTTCAATTGTGGAATTTCCCATTGTCTAGCCCATCGTTACTTCATTGAATTGTTTTCCAAATTCTACGTCAAATGCTCAGTCTTAAATTACGGCCCATATTGGCTATAATTCTTTGCTACGACGCGGCGATCGCTGGTAGTTATATGTGCTCACCGCACATCCTCAAAATAGTAGGTATTATCCGACACGTTATATAGATTTATGCCGGTCCGGATGGTGGTGCACGAGCTATTAATGACATTGATATAGCGATTTGCGGCTTCTCATACTGTTTACAATCATGGGGTTTTACTTTGCAAGACTATGGCATTAGCAGAATTTGAACGAACAGTTTAAAAAATAGTATCATAAATCTATTGCGGCACAGATATCAAAGGGTCGTTTCAACATCAAATAAAAAGTAAAAGCAATGTATATATTCGACGAATGAACGAACCCAAAATAGCTAGATTAGGTCAGCGTCAGGTACAGTGGATGGATGTACTCCCCCCATTCGAACTAAGACGTTGTCACACCTACAAACAGGCGGGCTTGCCGCTGTTTTCAGGAAGGGCGCACTTCTTGTCAAGAAAGGCAATGTAGCCCATCTCCTTTGCCACCTCCATGGGGTCGAAGATCTCGGCGGTAAGACCTTGGTCATACAGCTTCGCCTTCGCTTCGGTCCGTGTAACTGTACCATCATCCATCCACTCTTCGTATGTGTTTCCATAAACCATACGGCCGATCCTAGCCGCAACTTTTTCGTAAGGTCCACTTCTATTCCGTGAAGACTCGTAGCTCAAAGAGCTGTCCGAGCTGTCCGAGCTGTCAACGTCATCAGCGTTGTCAACTACGGGGTTGGGGTTAGCAGTCTGTGTTCCAACCGGAGCTGTAGGGTTGGTGGTGACGGTCTGCTTTCCAGACGGCGCTACAGGGTTGGGGCGGGTTATCTCCGTTCCAGAAGGCGGTCCTGAGTGGAGCTTGACAGGCTGCAGTCCAAATGGCACTACCTTTTTTGGGTGGGCGTCCGGGACGTTGCTGGCCATGACGGCGGGTTCTGAAGCCGGGATCTCAGGGTCCTCGGCTTCCAAGTGGCGTAGCAAGCGCTGGTGCTTGGGGTCCGTGTCCGCAGCGACCGCGTCGTGGTCGGCCAGCACAGACGATGTCTCACCAGACTTCAGGAGGTTGTTGGACGTCGAAGCGGCGGCAACGGCACTATCGTAGGTCGCAAGGCAAAGCACCGCCGCCGACACGAGTAGCGAAGGACGCATTGTAGAGGCAAAGGATGATCAGTTGGGTCGGGCAATCGGTGTTCGAGACGGCAAATTGGGAAGTGAGATTGACGTTGTTGGCCAAAAGGCTTCGAGCAAAGTCCTCGACGGATGAAGAACAGTAAATATGCCCACATTCGGTGGCCTCGCTTTCTTCAAGCTCGCGGTTCCGTCCGGTTCCGAATCTTTCCCACCAATCGCTAACCACAGACTCGTGAAGTGGATACTTCCCGTTTCCAGAACACTCTCGATCGTCGACGACTCGGACGTGGACATGGAAGTCCGAGCGAGAGGAAGTCGCTGTCCTGTGCATCGAATGAAAAGCAGACATTGCGATTAGCGCTACCGTCATTTCTAGTTGCGAGCCTTTTCCGCAACCAGAATCGACGGTAGTGCAAGCTGCAAGAGGCGTTACTTGTACTGTGAAGCGAGTCTTGCGTGTGACGATCAATTCCCTTCACCAAGACCTGGCACTCAGGTTCGACTGGCTATGTCCGTGTCCAAAGCGACGTCGCATCTGCAGAGTATACGTATCAGTGGCACGAACAGCGACAGTTTCTTGGAGGCACGTTACAAGCGCTAGTCCATCTTCTGGTCCGAGCCTGGTCAAAGACTAGCTTCGATGGGATTATTGCGACTGTCCTCTGTTGGCCAATAGCCGGGCCGGTCTACTTCTAGTGCACAGTCGTCAACTAACACACAGTCGGGCGTTGCGCCTACTCGTGCAGCATGTCTCAGGCTGGATGGGGCTCGAACACAGCACATGTGCTGAAAGTGAGAAGATCGTCTCGATCGCGCGCAGAGCCAAAAGTGCTCACCGACATACCCCAGTTGCACTGTTGTTTTCCTTAGTGGTCCAGTACGTGCGTGGAAGGGCCAGCCATATCTCTAGCGTAAACGGGACAAAAGCGGTGGCCGACGTCTAAATCTTTACCACTTGAATCGCGATGAAGTAGCTGTGGTGCAAACGACACTGGGTGTGCTATGGACTAGCCCTCTGTGTGCTCTGGACTAGCGTTCTCGCAATTGCTCGACATAGGAAGGGCGGTCGAACAAACCACCGCCTGCGCTGTAAAGGCGGCTTGCAATGGCAGTAGTCCCGGAGTCGGCGCGCATCTACTTGGCCACGCGGCTGTGTAGAGCACCAGGAACACATTCAGCACAGTGACCGGCTATCGCGCACCTGTCAGTCCATCACCTGGTGCCACTTCTTTATTGCCACGTGGTTCGTATAGGGTGTGCAGGAAGAACTCTTTCTACTCGTCTGTCATAGTCGTCCTGGTTGATCACTTCATTCGCTGAGCGGATTGCAGGTCTGCTGCAATCGTGATGATACTGCTGTCGTTTTATGAGAATATCTTATGGTCTACCGAAAGCTCTTCAATGCGGACGTCGATAAAGACAAGGCCATCGGCTCTGGCGTGCACGTTTCGATGGCTCAATACGTATCAACGCAGGATATCACCTTCTTGTACGATGCCGATAAAGGCGATGACATCGGCAGCGTATAGAGTGCTTCCACAGCCGCTTGACGTGTATCATGCAGGGCGCTGTCTCACTGTATATTGTATATCGTGTTAGCTCTAAATCTCGAAAAGTCGATGATGCTGCAGTTATCATTACGTTTGATGTCAGTGAACATGTCGAGACAATAGGTTGACGTAAGGACAGAACGCACTCATTGTTTGTACTATTCATATGCATGAAAAACACCTGGCGCCATTGACGAGAAGGATGAGGATATGATCAGTGGGAATGGCCATCACTTCCACTGTTAGCAAATGCGTTTCTCTCCTGTCTAGAATATGCCTCAGCCGATGTCTAGGACTCGTACAAAAGTGCTGCCAATCTCGTCAGTCCTCAGCTTCGGAGTGATACGACCTACCAATCTCGTATGAACGCCAATAAGCAAGAGCGCAAGAATAGGACAAAGAGTGGGGCGCGACTACTGTGTTACGCCACTGACGTGAACAAACCAGCTGATGCGTGCCACCAACATATTTTCATCGCTTTCTCGTCGGTACGGTTAGGCTCAATCGATAACTGCTGCTTTTGCATTTATACGAGTAGTCACATACCCCTGTACGTAGTTTGCTCAGCGGAATGACTTCTCGCTCTGATTGTGTCCACTAAACGTTTTGCGTCCAGCCAGTACGTGCACCATCATTACAAGAATTAATACTCTTACATGTCCCGCTGAGCTTACTTGATATGGTAGATAGTCGATGTCGAATGCCTTCACGGTGTACCTTTTACCATCAAAGCCAGCAGCATTGAAGAGGACGTTGTAAGGCAACCAATTGCAGAAACTCCCAACCTTTGATCGACAACGTGGCAACCTATACCATAATGAGGCACCATCAGCTTGTATATACACAATGCAAGGTCCCTTCACTGACACAGTGTAGGGGCAGTGCCTCGAATTCCTACATACACTTTACGTGCAGAGGAAGGCTAAACCTTTTCACCGGACAAGTTGAAAAGAGCGATAAAGTAATCTATATTCAGCATTTAAACGTGTCCAAAAGATATTAAATTTTACTTTATCCATTAGGAACATAATACCGCAAATGTAGCTGGTCGCTCAACACAGGTTGAGCGCGTCAGGCAGCGACTGTAACGGGGCACACCCTTGCGTAACTTAACGCAAGGGATTTGGAGTGCCCCGACGGACGTACACGTGGCGAGCGAGGAAGCGTAGGTAGGGTAAAAGTAGAACTGTTATATTAATAAATTAAGTCTTTAAACTACTGTCTCTTCGTTTGACTTAATTCAATTATACTAATATAACTGCATGTATGGTGACGTCTCGTCACCACTCATTGCGCGCGTCTTGCGGCGATTGGTGGGTTGATATCATCACGATATCAACCAATGAACAGACCCTTTGGTCGACCCTTCAATATCACCACTTTGGTGATATTGTTTAAAGAATATCCATCTTATATTCTTTATTGTCACTTTCCTTAAGTGACAATATCATGTAACGGGCTGCCCCGTTACATCACCCCCCCTTAACTGATAGTCACCGTGTGACTATCGAAATATGGAGGCCACCCGTTGGCCACCATTGGGACAGGGAGCACTTGTTTGGTCCGTTCCACTCACTTTCCGCTTGACCTCGCATAGTTAACATGTCTATGCGAGGTGACTCAAGACCCACACAGCCTGGTGCTGTGCAAGCCTCTGCGGCAGACGCTTCGTCGTCTGCCGCCCCTTCTTCGCCTGCAGCAACAGGTGCTGCAGGTGCACGCGGTATCACGCCGCGTGCGTACGATGACCCCGATGTGGAGGTCATCTACTCTGGCGAGTCAGACGTGTCTGAATCGGGCAATGCTCCAGAGGCGTCTCGCTCACCGGCGACGCCTCAGTATTCGCCAAGGCCACTGCCGAACGAACGGACTCGTGATTCGCATCACAGTCTGTTCGGCAGTGATGACGATGATCAGGGTGGTGAGTTCTATTCTTCACCACCGCCGGCTCGTGCGTCTTCGCACGAGCGTGATGACGATGGCGCGAGCCGTCGTCAATCTGGGAGCCGTGGTACCGACAAGGGTACCACTGTGAAGCGTGATGAGTTGAAGCCGTGGCGTTTGCCCGAACAACTCATCAATAGCCTGTCTCACGAGACAGGCCAACACCATCGAATACCCTTATTCGATGCAACCGAGCTTCACGGCTTGAGTCCCAGCGCGAAGAACTTTCGCGCTGAAGAAGACTTTTATCTCGATGTCTTCCTTAGACATCGATGGTACAATAGCAACCAAAAGCGTGACAAAACATCGCTTTTGGCTGCGTGGAACGCGTTCGTCCAAAACGTAAAGAATTTTGGACGAGAAGGGTGGCTCAAGAAACTTGAGGCAACACGCCTCAGGTTCGAACGGCGAACGCCAACCGGTGCTAGGTACCGGTTGCATTGTTTATCGAGTGAGGCAGGCATTCCTTACCTCACATGGGGAGACCCTTGTGCGAGTTGTGTTGACAACTCGCAGCGTGCACATAGGGATGTGTACTCCCTAAATTCGCCCTGGGGAAGGGCACATCTCTCGGAGGAGATGCGTGACGCGATTGCAAACTTGCAATCCGTCTACAAGCGCCTAGGGCGCGTGTTTACCGATGGGCCACAGGACTCATCGGATGGGTCTCGTCATACTGGCGGACGAGACCTTCAACATCCATCAACAGCTGAGAGCGGGGCTCCCAGCTGTTCCAAGAGGGTGGATACCCCCGCCACTGGACGAGGTAGCTCGTCCTTGATCCTGAATCGTCACGGTGATTCAAGATACTCTCCACTAGAAAGCGTTGATCACCGTGAGCATCCACCAAAGGATGTGGTGGAGGAGAAAAGACCTCCTCCAGATGATTCTGTTCACCATCTCGACCCTTACGAGATGGATCGCGCAATCGATGAATTGCGCGATGACTTGAAGCACGAGCGCGATCGGCGCTACGCTTTGACCGACACCGTGCGGAAGAACCGCAAGGGTCACGAGGCTGATCGGGCGAGGGATCGCGCCGATTATGCCACGGCGCAGCTTCAGGTCGAGCGGGATGTCTGCTCCCTTTTCGGCGAGCTGGCGACAGCTCGCGGAGAGATAACTCGGTTGAATACCGAGGTATCATATCTGCGCGACCAGACGGATCGTCTGGAGCGCGAACGCAAGAACTTGATGGATGTTCTTGAACGTGGGGGCTATCTTCATCGGAAGAAGAAGGCTCGTATTGACAGTACGACCTAAGCCTCCCCACGTAGAACGTAGGATGCGTGCGCATCCTACGTGGCAATTCGAGTGTGTATGCATTGCCCTTGCGATGCAACACTCGAAATGGCCCAATGTATTTCGGCAGTAGTTTACTACTGCCGACACTAGTGACTGCATGTCCAGGTAGGTTTACCGTTGACAGTAGTACTAGGTCATTAACCTTAAATGAAAGAACATTTGCTCTTCCATTCTTGTCTGCGTTCCGTTTCTGACGGTCCACCGCATTTGCGATGGAGT